TTGCACAGCTATACCATATAATGGGAGCTTCCATTGCATGGTCAATGAAATACTTAAATATTTCACCTAATGCTGGTGGGTTTTACTTTAAGCATGGCAGTTACCAAAGGATAAAAAAATCCAATGTATATACAATGTCAACTTTAATCACACAATATTATTTTATCATTTACAGGATTGGAGGCTGGAAGCCCAGAAGAAACGTGAGGATTTAGATATGGGCTTATTATGGGATTATAACAAAACTGTCCTAGTTGCAACCGACAATTTAGCCGTGAAAAGGATTTTCGGTTGCACAAGAAGGGTTGCCATCCTGAAATTTGTGAAGACTGTGGTCAGTCCTTCCAAAACCTCCATTTACGTAACAGCCATATTAGTTTGGTGCATACACAAGCATACAAGTGTGATGATTGTGACAAGTGTTTTGCTAACAAGCGCAATCTAAAGAGGCATCAAGTAGTGCATGCAGGTATAAAGGTGAAGTGTGAAATATGTCACTCAGGATTCAGCACTAAAGGCAGCATGCAAAGACACAAGAACAGCAACATCCCTGACACTTTATTTTGTCAAATTATATTCCGACCACGTACCGCTGACCTAAGGGCACAGGCGAAAATCTCGAGTATCGTTTGCATTTCATATCGTTTGCAAATGTAGTCCAAAAATGTATAAACGACTTTCGATAATTATTATTGTAAGTCGAGAAACATATATGATTGTTGAGAGTGTTGCTGCTGTGTGCGACAGTTGAGAAAATGCAAACGATAGTCAAGATTTTTGTCTGTGCCTTTGGTGAGCGTTACGTGGTCGGGATATAATATGACAAATTGACAAATACTGCATGACTCTAAATAGGGCAGGACTTGTTGTTTTGGTTGTTTTCTTTACCTTTTCAAATGTGTGTCATAGCTCCGAAATCTAGAAGACCTTCACATGGCTGTTGACCGACTACATATACAGCCTGGAACATGTTCATGCCCGGGAGGACACTGTAAATTATTCGAAAATGGGGAAGTATTGATACTTTGCTATTCAAATAATAAAACTCCAACGGTGAAAGGAGAAAAAGCTGAGGAAATTGAAGCAAAACTCATAAATCTTGATCGCAAATCAGGGGCTGATAGACATAAAATGAATAAATCTGTTTTGATGTTTAAAATACTAAACAACCACTCATCCCCTAACTTAAAACATAAATTTATTACCAGAAAGACAAATGAGCAATTATAATATGAGCAATTATAATCACATACACATACACATACATGTATACATGTGTACATATATATCTATATAGGTGGGTAGATAGGTACGTACGTACGTACGTACGTAGGTAGGTAGGTAGGTAGGTAGGTAGGTAAACCGTTTAATGATAGAACCGTTTAATAATACTCATATGGCAGCCAATCGGCTGAATTGCATGAGGCTATACAACAATTTATCGTCGTAATGAAAGACCTGACAAGCATATTTGAGAGTCGACCCGATCGATGCAATGTGAAAACATTTTAAATCGTTACTGTCAAGACCAGACTTCTTGAGTTGCTTTAATAGATAAAGACGCTTGGCAGCTTTCGTTGTTATTTTATCAACATGTCCATTCCATTTTAGATCTTGGCTTATCAAAATGCCCAGTATTGTTGCCTCTTCTACTCGAGCAGTGATTTGTTCTTGTATCAAAATAGGGTAAAAATCAGGCTCGCTCTGTTGGAAATTAATTACTATTTCCTTGCATTTGGACGGATTAAGTTCAAACTTGTTGCATTGGGACCAATCCACAATAGAATCTGTCACTTCTTGGATAGAGTTGGTATTAACTTGATAAGTGAGATTCTCCCAAATGCTGGTGTCATCAGCATATCTAATCATGTCACCCATGAACTGATCATCTGAGATCGAGAGGTCATTAAGCATTACTAGAAATAACCACGGACCAAGCTTCATCCCTTGTGGAACCCCAGCATTAACTGGTTTCCACGTAGAAAAACAGTTTGAAAAGCTTCACTCTTTGGAATCTTCCACGTAGAAAATCGACAATCCAATTTAGAACCGATGATTTCAAATCAAGTCGTCGTAACTTCTCATCAAGTATATTATGATCTATAAGATCAAAGGCTTTACAATAGTCTGTTAGAAGTGTTTGCACAGACCCAAGGCACAGAGCCTTGTCCACTGTCTCTGACCAATGATGGATCAAAGAAATCAATGCAAAGGTGGTACTTGATCCTGGTATAAACCCTTATTTATTAGGATCAATACATCTCATTAACGTTGGTAGAAGATCCCTCGTGATTACAAAATCTTCTGCAATTTTACACAAAGTTGAGGTCAATGAGATATGCCTAAGATCTTTGTTAATGTCTAACACTTGTTTACTTTGGGGATCAGACAAAGATTTGCCAATTTCCAAACCAAAGGCAACCGGCCATCTTTAAAAGAACCATTCAAGATTGTTGCAATAGGAGATGCCAAAACAGTTGCAAATTTCCGCAGAACCCAGTTTGGTAAGTTATCAGGACCACTTGATTTACCCGATTTGATACTGTGTAAGTGTGTGCACACTTCCTTTTCAGTCACAACAATCGTAGCGTTATTCTCTGTCATGGGTGAGATATTATTATCCAAAGGGAGATATCCTTGCATGTTTTTCGTATCACTTAGTGTGACAGGATCCTGAATATCGTGTTTTAAGTTTGAAAATATGGAATTACATCCTGATCCTGACAGAAGATCACACAAACGTTTTACCTTGTACCACCAATCTTTAGGCTTACTTTGCTTTATATCCTTTACTTTAGCTTCGTAATATGCTTTCCGACACTTTTTCCTCATTCTATTAACTTTATTTCGCAACTGTTTGTATAAAATATCGTTATTCTGTGCAAAAGCTCTTTGCCTTTTTATGGATTTGAGATTACAATTCATCCACGGTCGGTCATTTTAATCTTAACGGTTTTTAGTGGCGCCAGAGTGTCTAATCCATAGTTGATAATGTTGGTTAGAGTATCTAGGTTTTCTTCACAACTGGATTCAGGAGTGATCACAAGATCCCATGGAACTTCACAGAAAAACCGACCGAGACATTGTACAGTGCTAGGTCTTTTATCATGTACATGGCATACTTGTGTCGTTTGAATGTCTTTCGACCAGAGCTTAGGTAACGCAAGAACAGTTGCATGATTTGCCAGACCCAGTGGTGGGGCACAAAAAGGTGTATCATAAAAATCAGCAAGGTTTGTAAACTAGAAGTTACTATCGCAAGGGAAGTGGTGGCATCGTAAGTCTACGGTGGCCCATAGTTGCCACCGGATTTAAAATCATTTTGAAGAAAATAAATGTGATTAATTTGTTTAGAAGTTCATTTCTGAATTGTAAAATGTGGCAACACGCCACAAAATATAACAACACAAGACTGTACAACGTTTAGTTTGTTAAAAATTCACGTAAAAAATTTTGTTTTCAATAAAATATTAAAAAAGAAAATCAAAATTAATTTTAAAATAGAAGAAAATTTAAAAAAAGTTCATCTATGGTCAGCGGTTCTCTACAATGAAAAAATAATTCATGTAAGATATATATGCGAATATGTTTGAGAATTGAGAGAACAAATAGAGTATTATTAGAGTATATAAGTGGGATGTTTACAAAATTTTGAGCAGTATATTCAAGAGTTTTCCAATCATGTAAAACAGAGCAATGATATGTTTAGCTTGTGGAGCTGAACAAGCTCAGCCAGAAGATAGATTTTGCTCTATGTGCGGAAATGGTATGTATTGTACATATAAATTGAATATTTTCTTTAATTTAGGGGTAATAATTTATTGATGAAGTCACACAATTTACTGGAATATACCATAGAAATAATATCTAATGTCTCTGTAAGCATACCCCCCCCCCACCTTCACCCATTGTGGAACTTTTTCCCCTTAGCTGGTAGACAATTAGTTTAACCCTCATCATAGTATATCAGAATATGATGCAACTGAGTGCACATATTAGTGTACCTAAGAGTACCTTAGACTACCCTAGGGTATCCTAGACTACCTTAGGGTACCTTAAGGTACCTTAGACTACCTTAGACTACCTTGAGGGACCTTAGACTACCTTAAACTACTTTAAACTACCTTACACTACTTTAAACTACCTAATTAGGGCACCTTAGCCTACCTTATACAACCTTAGCCTATCTTACAGTGCCTTTAGACTACTTTGGACTATAGGCTCGGCCAAGCATCTGTTTTAGAACAAATATTTAATTGTGTAAAAATGGTGTTTGGTACAAATACTTCTTAAAAGTAATTGGAGAACAACTCAAACGCGCAAACCTACCGTGAATTAGGTAGGCTAAGGTACACTATAAAGTAGTCTAAGGTAGACTAAGGTAGCCTAAGGTACTCTAAGGTACTCTGAGGTAGTCTAAGGTACCCTAAAGCAGTAAGATAGTGTAAGGTAGGTAGGCTAAGGTAGTCTAAGGTACCCTATGGTAGTCTAAGGTACCCTATGGTAGTCTAAGGTACCCTAAGGTAGGCTATGTTAGCCTAAGGTAGTCTAAAGTAGTCTAAGGTACCCTAAGGTGTTCTAAGGTAGTCTAAGGTATTCTAAGGTAGGCTAAGGTACCCTAACATAGTCTAAGGTAGCCTAAGGTTGTGTAAGGTTGTCTAAGGTAGGCAAAGAAGGTACCCTAAGGTAGTCTATGGTAGGCTAATTAGTTAACATGCACAACTTAACGTTAACATACGAATATTCAGTTATGCTAATAGTAATTGGGCCGCCAAGCACTTAGCCTGCATGGCAGGCGGTCCCTGAAATCGGGCGAGGCGAGGACGGCGAAAGACCGCCTGCCGGGTTTGGCTATGTTTTTTAAAAACCCCGTCCACTGGTGGACGGGAATTGATGATTGGCTGCGAGTCTAATCCGCTGTCAATCAAGAGTAAATATTGTTAATATGTAACATAAAACTAGATCAAATTACTTTACATATTCCACGCGTCTGGTCGGTCATGGCGGAATTTATTGACGATTGTGTTCGCTCTGCTGTTTTAAAACTTAACAATTCTCGAAAATCGAAACGAGAACTGGTTCTTAAACGCGAGCAGGAGATAGCGGTTAAAGATTTACTTCTTGGGAAGCATGTTTTAGCCGTTCTCCCCACTGGTTATGGGAAAAGCTTGATTTTTACGTTGTTCTTGTTGGCGCAAGAAAATATGGCAAAAATAAATAAAACTGAACGCAGTAGCGTTCTTGTTATTTCTCCTCTACGCAGTATTATAGAAGATCAAATAGCTGAGATGCTTTCGATGGACTTCTCAGCGGTGGAACTTTCGGATAAAAACGTTTCAGAAGTCGTCAAGTCTCCACCGCAGTATATTTATGCAAGCGCGGAAAGCGCAATCAATAAAGCTTTTCTTGATTCGCTCAAGAACAGCAATTCTGCGATTCATCGATCCATTGCTCTTATTGTCGTGGACGAGTCTCATACTGTGGAAACGTGGACGGGGAAAAGGTAATTAAGATAAATTATATTTTATCTCTAATATTTTTTTTGTATTTTTGAAAAAAACACTTGGTTTTATGTACCTTGATAGAAGTAAAAGAGGATCAAGCATCCAGAGTGAAGCATTCAGAGATGCTTATGGCAAACTGGCAATTCTGAGATCAATGTGTAAAGAACGTGAGTAGTTAAATTTAAATACAAATTTTATAAAAAGAAAAGCATGGAAACAAGTTAGTCATGGTCACAAAAATTTTGAATACACCTGTCATTCTTTCATACTGTCATAATTTAATTGCAATAGCCAATAGGCATTTGTGCACAGATTTGTGTAAGGTTAAGTAAATCAACCCTAACCCTATTCTAAATTTGTAACATTTTTCTCTAATATAGGAACACCTGTTTTAGCACTAACTGGCACTGCTGATGAGGTGACACAGAAGGTCATTTGTTCCAATTTGGCAATAACTGATGCAACAAAGTTGTTTGTCAGTCCAAATCGAACAAATTTGAGATTTGACATAAACAAGGTGCCAAAAACACTTATGCTTTCCAAACTGGATTGGATTGCCAACATGATAAAACAATATAATATTGTCATGCCAAAAACAATTATATTTTGTGACACAATCTATGCTCTTGCCCAAGTAGTGAACTATTTACAAATGAAACTTGGCACATATGCATTCTACCCAAACAGCTCAAAGAAGAGAGAGGACTGTTTGATTGGCATATTTCATTCAATGATTAAGGAGAAATATAAACAACGCATTTTTGAATCTTTAAAAGGAAGTGGTACAAAACGAGTTGTGGTTGCTACATCAGCTTTGAGTATGGGCGTAAATTTTCCTGACGTAAAATATGTGGTGATGTATGGTCCACCAAGGAATCTTTTAGATTTTCACCAGCAAGCAGGGCGAGCCGGGCGAGATGGAGCATTAGCTCATACTGTACTGTTCTATTATGGCCAGCAAGTTGCACATGTTGAGAATGAGATGAGAGAATTTCTACAATTCATCTGATTGTTTTCGCGTAGCAAGCTACAGTAAATTTGATAAGACCATAACTCCTTTATCACCACATCACATTTGCTGCAATACTTGTTCTAAGAATTGTGAATGTGGGTCATTGGAGTGTAAAGTGGTTCAAATTCCCCATGAACAACAAACAATAACTGGTGATGCAATGTTACATGTATCTCCACTTCGCCGGTCCGTAAATGAAGAAGATAGATCTCTACTGAAAGATGCACTTGAAGCTCACCAGACACAGTTTTCTATAGGTGGAAATATAACTGCTTTTGGCCTGTTATCATGCTATGGCTTCTCCAAAGAAGCTATTTCAGATGTGCTGGACAATTGCCACAAGTTGTTCACTATTAAGGACATTTTATATTGTGTCCCTGTATTCTCTACAGTCCATGCTAAAGAAGTCCTTAGTGTAATTAATGAGGTGTTTGATGACATTGATGAAAGCACATTTCAAAGTACTGATGATGATGGTGGCACTACTGATTTCAAACAATTTTCACTCGATGATCTGCTGCAAAGTGAATTCAATGAAACTGCCTTGGCTGAAGATTTGAATGAGTATGACTTTATTTAATTGTCTAAGTATAATTTCTGACTGATTGTGCACCTATTTACATTGGAAATTTGAGTACATATAAATACATAGTGAAAAAATATAGAATGATTTTCAAACTGTCTTGTGTTCAGGCTGTTTCTAATCTCTATAGGCAGAATCCCATGTTTTGATATGACCTTTCAACCATGCATGTAAATCCCTATAGTTCAATCTTCCAAGAAGTGTTTTTGGGAAGTTTGCAAATGTTGGGTGACCTTTTCTGCCTTTGCAAAATTTGAAGCATTTATTTTCACAAGATCCTTAGTAACTTGGGCTACAGCAACTTCAGGCTTGCCTTTGGATCTGTAACCAATATTAGAAGCAAGGTCACAGTCCTGGTCTATTTCATCAAGAATTGCTTCCATCTCATCAACAGTGTTAGCAAGCCTTGCAGCGGATGCCTCATTTAGGTTTGCACCTAGAGATCTCCACAAGGTTTTAACAATCTTGTTCAGTTGCTCCATTCTTAAATCTAAGGGAATGTTTCCTCCCTTTATTCCATGCTTGTTAAAAAACCTGTTCCACTTCAAGTTGTGTGCATCATATTTTGAAAGAATGCCATTAATCTTAACAAGTAACAAAAGCACTTCATATGCATACTTGGTCTTGCCATGTTCTTTGAATAGAAGGAGTGCCACTTTATACACATCAATAAGTCTTTCCCCATCACCCTCTTTTATTCCATCATTGAACTCCATTAGAAGGAGTCCAAACGTTAACTTAGCACAGTGGTAATTGTAAAGATTGTCCTCCTCTTGACTTTCATTGATTTCAATTGAGTGGGTTGAGTCAGGATCAAATACTTGGGAATGCTTTCCAATTTCATGTCTGAAGGCAAGACATATGACACAATTAGTATGATCCACATATAACCAAGGATTACTTCATATTTAATTGAATTATCTATATCCATTACTTACCTGTTTCTAATTGATGATGTAGAATATACTAGGCCACACCCCCATCTACAGTAATAGTAACCAAATTCATCTCTTTCCATACCACTTTCTTCATACACTTGTTTAATTATTTTGTGTGCTGTAACTTCATGCCTGTTAATTTAGATAGATTAGTTGTTATTAAAAAATAGCATCATAACACATGTTTGATGGCCATGTAAAATTTCTTGGTAAAATTTCTTTAATCATGTTGCTCATGTCTAAAGAATACATGTAATTTTTTATAATAGTACACATATCGCTACAGTACATAAATTATGCATACTGAAATTGATTAAACCTAAACCTATCCTAGCAGGCATCAGAGAGCAACTTAACAAACATTATATTTATTCAAACTTTTAAATGATAACTAGCTAACCGAGAGACATGGGCAAACACTCTGACAAATATTGAGAGATCCAAAGCATAATACAAGTGTGGCATCATACTTGATCAAGTAGAAAAATTACTTACTTAACCCTGTTTGAATGGCTGATATATTTTACTTTGCATCCAGGTACTCTACACACGAAACCCAGAGAACGGTTCACCTCTATTTCTCTATTCTGTTCATCAAATTTTTCAATTTTCTGAACCAATGTGTTCACATCCACTTGCATCACATACTTGTCAACAAATTTTGCACATGTCTCCATCAACCATTTTCTTTGAATTTCTCTTGTGACACTGTCATCAGGTACATCAAATGTAGGATGATCTAAATGTAAAAACAATTTGGAACCCTCATATCACTTGAGATAGTACCTTACAGTGTCTATCCAAAAGGCATTGTGATTACAAAAATTGCATACAATTTCAGTAATAGTTAGAGTGTTGTTTCCATTCATCAGTAACATTTGAAAGAATATCTAAAGTACATAATTATGTGGTAACCAACAATCATGTTGTTTTATATAATATGAAGACAAACCAAAATGTGCTCCAAATGCAATAAAAAATTCAATTACCTTCCATATTCAACATGCCACACATTTCCATAAAAGATGCACATATATGTGCTTCTGTTTCACAAAGATGAAATTCTTTATATTCATTGTAATGATTCTCTACACCTTTTGAAGCATTTGTTTTTCCAGTCCTATTCATACTAGCTCGAGACGTTCCAATTTCATTCACGGAAGAAATGAGAAAGATTATTTGTTATTTTAATGGCAGATTTACTCATCTGGTGAATATTGGACTAGTGCTGCCACTTAAACTTAATAAACTAAATTAATAAATATCTTACTTGTATGATGGCAGCTTTCTATGGTGTTGAAGCTGTATTGCAGATTCTAAATCTTCTTCACTGACACAAGACAAATCATCATTACCATGCAAAACAAGCGTTTTACATTGTTTATATGTATCTTCACCAAACATCCTGTACCCCTGTACCACTGTCTCTGACATATCCACCACCACCTCCAACTCCATGTCGTCTTCTGCATTTCTGGAAACCACATTCGTCACTTGTTTCTCTTTTACTTCCTTCATAAGCAACTCAGCAGATTTGTTCAATTCAATTTCTTTTTTCCACAAAAGAAGCTTTCTTTCACAACCTTCTCCCATTTTCCTTTCCATATCAATTATCATATCTGGAGACATACAAACACCAAGTTTGTGTAAGCGACGAATGTCTTGATGTTTTACACCACTATGGAAAAGAATTGCCGAGATTCTGTAAGCAACTGCTGACATCAATTGATTTCTACAACGGGCAGCAACTGCTGAAGATAAAGCCATGTAGTTTATTTGCTTGATACTTTGACTATTCCCACCAGGTGCATTACATGCCCCATCAGGCATGACATCCAGTAAGGGCAAGACAGTCGGACTTCTGCTAAAAAAATCTTGTTTGAAAAAGACTCCAGATCAGTGGGATGACATTGCTTGAGCATTGACTCGAAATCATCACTTTTCGAACAATAATCATTAAATTCCGCACTAACTGTCCTTTTCAGCGGATCGAACAGTTCTGTTTTCAATTCCGGATGCTTGAAGATTATGTTAGCTGCGGGTTTCCATTTCTTCAGAATGAGGTTGATTATTAAGGACTTTGTCGTATCATCAAATGATTCATAAGTTTTTACAATCCCGTTGGGTTGCAAAACTACCGTTTTTAGTTGCGTCGTCGGTTTCTCGTCGTGGTGATCTACATTTAGGGCTGACAACAATGGGTCAAGTGTGCTATCGTTTTCTTTTGGCAGTGTTCCCGTCGATTCCGCGCATTCGACATTTTCTCTAACAAAAAGAGCTTTCTTCGCAGGACCACTTCGGCTAGGCGGCTTAGGCCCATGAGCTGCTTCGAGTTCTGTTCTTCTTAAGGCTTTCTTAACGACAGGGCTTCGTTCGGGGACAGGACGGTCGTGGGTAATTGACGCTTTACAAAGGTTTCTTTGTTCGATTCAGCGATCGCGTTTATGTCTCGCTTTATCAAAGAAATCAGCTCGCTTGCGTTTCGAATCTTTCGCCCACACGGTTTACAAACTCGGTCGGAAAGTTCCGTGGAAGAACTAACTTCGATACCTAAATGTAATGAACACAACTCGGCCAAGGTTTCTCCACTGACGAATTCTTTTCTTCTGGATGATTTGAATAAATTCTCCGACGATATATAAGACACCTTTGCTATTGGCCCATATTTTAGCTTCAACGCACACTTACACAAACGGCAGTGCTCATTTACATTTTCTGCGCTTGCTTTTTTACCTCTTGCCCTGGTTGTAACTTTCTTTGGCGTTTCTTTTGACATATTTATATATATTGAAATTTCATTTTTCCTACTACATTTTGAGCGATTGTTTCGAGGAACAGAGTTGAATAAATAACCGGAATATATAATAATCCTAGTTACTCAATAACACAGTTTTGCTATTAATATATTAGCTGTTTGTTGATTGGCTAATTGTTCCCAGACAGAAAAGGGGCGGTTGACAAAAAACATAGCCAAACCCGGCAGGCGGTCTTTTGCTGTCCTCGCCATCAGTGTCCTCGCCTCGCCCGATTTCAGGGACCGCCTGCCATGCAGGCTACCAAGCACTAATCTATGTGAACAAACTTTGTGATTTGTCATTCATAACAATGAAGGACAATGAAGTATGGAAATTGACTTTGCCCATTTTCTATATTCATGCAAATACTTGTACGTTTTAAATCATATCAACCGCAGTTATGGCAGACGATTTACATGTGATTGCAATCACTCTGCAGTGTTTAGCAAATGTAGGTAACATTTTGTTCTCCGTGCATACACCTGTGTTGAGTGCAGGCAACGAATTGGTAGAAGAAAGCTATGTCAGGTCAAATGAAGAAAGAAACCATGCACTGTTAACTGCGAGTCTATTACTTGAAAGCTTTTTCAGATTGCTATTCCTGACATCAGTATGCTCTCAAGCAAACATCCCAAGAGTACGTATGGAAAGAGTATTGTTTCCGGATTTTGTGCGTTCGGC